CCTGGGGCCATTTCAGCACCATCATCTCGCAGATGAGGGGACCGAGGCCCTCAGAACCCAAGAGCATTGTCTGCAGTCGTGCTGAAGGTGGAGGAGGAAACTTGTGCTCACTTCAGAAGGAGGAGGAGTCAGGGGAGAGGAGAGGCAGTGACACACTCTGGTGCTTTGGAACAGCGGTCAGGAGTGGTCGGCCACATTCCCCCAGCTCTGTGCCTCTGTCCGTGGTCTTCCTCTCCAGTTAGAAGCCCCTCTCCTTTACATCCACTCAATCCATCTGTCAAGGTCAACGGAAGATCCACCCCTGAAGGTGTGATTCTATGATTATTCCATCTACATGTCTTTCTTCTCTGGACTCACATCACTACTTAACATTTTTTTGATACATGCCTTCATTTTTCATTGATTGTGTCACATAAATAAATTATAACCCCCAGGTCCAGAACTTCTTAAGAACCAGAACTATTGGTCCCTCACATAATATGCAGTCTGAGGCACATAGTAGGTGCTTATTAAGTAACAGGAATGAAGATAATAGCTGATATTATCAGGTACCATGTAGGCATTTATCTATATTGCCTCATTTAATCATCACAATCACCATGAGGCATAACTACTATGGTTATCCCCATTTTACAGACGAGGAAACTGAGTTTCAGTTAAGTAACTTGCTCAAAAGACACACCAAGAGCAGAACTCAAAACTGGGTCTCTAACATCAAAGCCCAGTATGCAAACTAACATATTACAGTCCCTGTAATGACAAGTACACTTACCCTAAAATGGAAGTTTCCTGCCACTAGCTAGAAGTGTGACCTTAGTGAGGCTGGTGTTACCCACTGCTCCATGGGTCAGAGATTGGTCTTGCAGAAACCTGGGAGGAAAAGCTGTTGGCTTGGGTATTGAAAAATGATTGAAATTATGTGTGAGTACAGTTGAAGGATTATGGTTCCATAGAACACGTTGTTGAGCCCCATGGAATGAGAACAGATAGAATCAGTCACACAGTCCTCAGTCTTACCAGTCAGTGAGCGTTAGTGCACCATGAAGTATACTCAGTGATGTGTTGCTGGGACACAAAATACATTTCAGGCATAATCCAAGAAATTTTTAAATGAGCTGAGAAGCAGTAACTAATTTGAGTGACAAAACTATAAACTGTAAAACACACTAAGCCATTGTGTTTAGTTGTGTGCTAGTGTTGAACATCAGCATTTTAAAAACCTGCTAAGTCCACCCCAATAGTTGAGGAAGACATCCAAATAAACTTTAGGAGCAGGTGGAGTATTCCATTTAATGTTAGCAATTATGTCTCTTATAATTATGTATTCTTTACTATTGTAGACTGAATGTTTGTGTCCCCCCCAAATTAATATATTGAAATCTTTACCCCCAGTGTGATGATATTAGGAGGTGGGGCCTTTAGGAGGTGATTAGGTCATGAAGGCAGAGCCCTCATGAATGGCATTAGTGCCCTTAAAAAAGAGACCCCAGAGAGCTCCTTTGCCCCTTCTACGGTGTGAGGACACAGTGAGAAGATGGCCATCTGTGAACCAGAAAGTGGGCACTCACCAGACACCCAAATAGCCTTGATCTTGAACTTCCTAGCCTCCAGAACTGTGGGAAGTAAATTTTTTTTTTGTCACCCAATCTATACTATTTTTTTATAGCAGCCCAAACAGACTAAGACATTTTCTGAGAAGTTTAATGGGATTTTTTAATTAGGGTATTCATGTCAGTTCTTTTGATAAGTGAGCTATTGTAAAGTAATGGACTAATTATTTTCTTTTAAGAATATACAAGAACTTGTATATCCAAATGAGTGTTGTCCTTCAAACTTGTCACTGTGGGAACCCTTGCATGTACAATTTTATTTTTTTATTTTTAATTTTTTGGTAATATATACACAGTAAACAAAACAAAAGCGTTGTTATAAGAGGTTCAGGGATTCGATCGGAGATGTAAAAGACGCTTTCCACTCCAAACAAATGGACTGGAGGTATATTTTATTATATAGAGGATAGTAAAGGCGATAGTCCGCAAACAGATCCGAATAGGTCAAATAATAAGAGGGAA